ACGAGTCAGCAACTCGCACACCGTTCTATATCTGTGTTGAGGGTCGTTATTTTGCCGGACAGGAATGTCTCTACCGTGCACGCGAAGAGCGAAGGACAGCATTCACTTTTCTGAATTGTCTACGTATATCTTCTGGCCCCCACTGGTGGGAAGGCGGCGTAGGGACCCAAACCTAGACTTGAAAAACATCCTCAACCTATTACTTAAGCGCCGCCGTGCTTTAAACACAGTTCACGATAATTTCGAGGTCACTTTTTAAGCCGAAGTGGTAACGTTGATGCAGTACACAGGCGGCAAAGAAAGCGAGAAAATTTACCTAATTCGCGAAAAACTAGTTTTCCAAAGTGGTGAAAATAGAGCTTGTACGAGATTATCATGGGCGGGAATGGCATGTAAGGGCTATATGACCGAGATTTCACTTGCTTCAACTGCGCAAAGAGATAACTACATCAAGCCGAAATTGTCCGAAACTGCCTTTCATATAATCATGAGTTATAGCAAATTGTTGGAACATACATGGGAGTCCCTTGAAATAGTACAGATCTACAACGCCATTGAATCTCGTCCACTATGGGTGTGGCATTAACACGATATAACCCCTGGTCCCTTATTGTGTTCTATTCAGGACGTTTTTCGACCTTATAACGGCAGGTATTGTATAAGGCAGGGCTTCGACTTCATACTATGGGGAATCTAAGAAACAATCTTTATGTGAGCTGTGCGTTTACCAGTTGGCAGGGAAGTTAAATCTCGTGTTAGTGGTCGTCTTACAGAAGAAATTCTGTAGCAAACAAAACAAACGTTGGCTTGTCACTCCAGATAACTTCGCTCCATTGGTCGACGATCAAGTGGAGGTGCGCACGTGCCCATTTAAGTCGAGCAGCTCGTCCGTTTTTCAGGAACACCAACTGCTTCTTCATATGTTTTTTTTCTATTTGATTCAGCAGCATCTTATAGAGTCTGTTGATGATAAGTTGAGATGGTAGCGGCGTCACGGTCGTCGATATTCTGAACATCGTGCTGAAAGGTGGTCGCTTGGGATGATGATGCGGTGTATAGCCAATCTTCCTATCGTCCGCAGTAGTGATAACCCGTGGCCTCACCACTCTGGCTCGTTCACTAGGCCTCCGCGAAACTTAATTCTTCGATAGCCTTTGTAATCATGGATCGTGACACCAAACGCCTTGAAAGTTGAGCATGCGCCCAATCATGCTTACTGCCAGAGACAATTGCGGAAGGCTACTCTACGGTCAGAAAGCGAGATTCAAAGGATCTTCCCATCAGAAGGCATCCAGTTTTCGGAACTAAGCTACCGCTTATTTGCGTTGCGGGACAATCGGTAATATTTACAAAAGGTGCTCAAAATTCAGTCAAATGATGATGAAGTGAGTGATGGCAAAATGGTTTCATGGTGGTTCCATTGTGAACAGTTCATACTATAGCTAAATGGATAACGTTTGGAATGTTATTAACGCATTTAAAACTCAGATTTCCCGAATAAATCTTTTGAAAAAGTTTTCAAGGCTCGAACTAACTTGGAGATAGTTGCGCAACTACAACAGATAGAATGCGCAACTACAACAAGCGTAGCTCGTAGCGTGAAGTAGGTGCCCTTCTTTTTAGACGTTAAAATCTGGGTTTGCTCCCTCCACCTGAAATCTGGGTTTGCTCCCTCCACCGACCACTTATTTTACACAACGTGTTTTCTACTCGATAAAAGTCCATACAAGAATTTGTGATACTTGATCAGATAAAAGCTATACTTCAGCTATCATTTACACTCATCGCACTGATTTGAACGGATCATCTCTGCACGTAATTGTGAAAAATTGTTCGACAAGTAATTTCGTTTTTTGAGAGAGATTTCCTTCAGACCTTGTTTGAGAAGCTTCCCAAAAGTTCGATTTTTTATGTGATATATATTATTCACACTGCACTTTTCCTCAGAGAAAAAAGGGAAAATTTTATTCTCATTCGTAATTGTGAGATAACTTTGCTTGGAGTCTTAGATGGAGCATTCTCGGCATATTTCACTTTTTTTACTTCTGTATTGGCTAAGAAGCCACTAGAGTTTACCTTAAAATAGGTAAAACATAAACTGACAATTAGTCTTATTACAGAAATATGTGAACACTGGTCCAGAGCTTTCCGTACAGCAATTTATCATTGCAAAGTGGACAGACCATGCATGGATGGTCGTATTTGAACAGCATTGACCGAGGCCGATTTTCGTGTAACCCATGCAGGAACTTACTAAAGAGCAACACATTTATGGGAGAGCTGATGAGAATATCGAAAAACTTGGACTAGTAAATAAGTTGTGCCACACGAGTTGAGAGCGATTTTCGATTTGAGCTTCAAACGCAATGAACATTGATCATTTACGTACCGAATAGTGACTATTGATAGAAGTCGGAATATTTACTATGATTTTTCTCACAAATGATTGCAGTAAACACCGGATGAACCTGCTCAAACGAGTTTCAGAGCTAATATTCACGATAAATGGTACGAAACCAATTTGGTGGGATACGGTTCGAAAAGCCTACAATTAACTAGATTGTTAACTTGGGCCTCTTCTTATTACAATTTTATGACGCAGTTGAAAAAGCTCTTCAGAAATAGCAAGGTATTTGCAAGTAGCAAGGAGTAATACTGTCATAACAAGGCTAGATCGCATACATTTTTTGGCGACTCACCAAAAATAAAAATAGCATAAATAAAAAAAATAAAAAAGCAACAACAGAAGCAAAAATTACCGAAGCCTGGCTGGAATTAAATGCTTGATCCTCCATATAGCCTTGATTTCGCGGCATCCGAATCCCAGTCATTTCAATCGTCAAAATTCCTTCAATGAGAAACCTTTATAGGCGACGAGGATCTCAAATCTAATGTGGTCCAATTTTTTGGCCAAGACCGGAGGTTCCGCGAGGGACGAGCTATGAAATTACCCCAAGGAAGGCAAGCGGTAAACGAACAGAACAGGGTATATATCAAGTTCCACTCAAAAGGTGGAAAATTGTTTTGTGCAACGTTCAGAGAACGAAATTACTTATTCGGACCGCCCAATATATGAAAAACGCGTTCAATAACAGTTTTATTAACAGCTATTTTCGCATCTTTTTTAATGTTTCATCAATCATGAGTTTTTTTCTTACTTTGCTTCAAGACAATTTTTCTCGTGCCTGTTTCAGTGGAGAAATGATAAGAGAGTCATCATCGTCAGTAAAAGAAAGTAGATTACGTGCGAAAATCCCCTGTTCTAAATAACAGCACGAATTTCGGCCGATTCTCTGGACTGTGTAGTACAGCCGATTCACTAGACTAAGCAGAAAATTTCGTAGAAGTACGCTGTGCGAAGCCTTGGCGACTGCGGGGACAAATCCTTATCCGTCGCTTGAAAAGGGGGAGCACCACCTCTACCCCACGGCCGCCCTTACTGTCGTACGCACAACTGCGCATTTCAACTGATTCCATGGAAATTGGAAATCCCTTTCTGATTTATATGTTCCACTTGTGAATACTATTATGCCAATATTGCCATTCTTGCGACTTGCTTTTTTAATGTAAATCGGTTGGTTTGCTCGGCTGACGTTGGGATCTTCTCTTTCTGCGTCAACTGTGAACTGCCCTCTGCATTCTTCTAATTTAATAGCTCGACAGCTCTGGTCCGAGAGAAGTGGAGTTATTTATTTCCACCGAAACACCTACTTCATGCGCTTCGCCCGCCATGAGCAAAGACCTGCTTACATCCCGTATGTTTAGGTAGTACGGTTCATTCTTAACTTATCCCAACTTTGATCAGAACACGCTCATTTCCCCACGCTACGCCCTCTCATTGCGTTGCATTCCGCGGGTGAGATCTAGTTTAGACACTCTCTGCCATCTACCAGCGCTGATTTATTCCTGCCGCCTGCACTCGCACGCACCAAATTTGAGCGACCCTGATCCAAATTGACAATTTTCACCACGCCCGCCTTTGTGGGCCTTCGTGCCACCTACTCACAGTATTCCCATCCTGCCGCCTATGTCCCTAACAAATTTGAACCTTCCAGATCCAAATTAACAATTTTTTCGCAAGTCCCCTACCTTGTACGTGGAGTTCAGTCTTGCCACCTACAATCATTGATTTTATTCTGCCGTTTGTACCCCACCAAACCTGAACGCTCTAGGCCTCAGGAAGCTGACCACAGTGAGATGCCTGCGTGCAACATGTGTCCTGGGTGCGAATTAAGCAGGCTCTACAGCCCCTACAATTTCGTGCGATCTCGTCTGACTCGGGGTGTGTACGCCGGCTAAGTCGCTTCTAGGCAACTTATGACCGCCTACATAGGCCCTTCCAACTCGACAGGGTCCCATGTGTTCTTCTTGGTGGTCACAGATTCATCCTAGGGAGAAATCTCAGGAACCATATAGCGTAACCTGTGATCTTAATACGCTTAGGGTATATACCTTTATACTGAATTCGCGCAGGAAATCCATTCAATGTGAGTGCTTCTCCATAAATGAGTTACCGCATGTATGATAGGACTCCATTCCGAATCGCGGCGATGTTTGTCGCGTGAGCTTCGCCCATTACGTGAACGGCGCTTCCCTCGATAAATTGGTAAATCTCCACAAATTTACTCCAGCTTCGGTAACGGCCCCGGTGTTTGTTCATGTCCAAATAAGAAGTTCGAACCATGGAGCACTAAAAGTACGTGGATGTATTTTAGGTCGTCGGTCAGGAAGTGGAAGGAGTGGCAAAAACAAAAAAGGCGTCGAAAAACATTGCTTCGAAAGAAATGCTCGCCATTTTGGAGAAAGGCATTGCCGACATGAATGAAGAACCTGATCTAGATCGAGGTACAACTTTTCTTGTAATTTTCGTGAAATTGAGATGGGTTAAATGGAATCGTCATGTGATGTTCAAAATGTAAGCCGGTACGGCGTGATTCAGTCTTGCAAGCGTTCGGTGGATTTTACGGAGCATCGTAGGTTACAGTCTTCTGTCCACGCTAAGATGTCCATGACAACAAATAAAACTGCTGTACAGAGTGTGAATTTTCGGTCTTACAATTAGTCCACCAACACGGCCACCGTGAAGGGTCGACCACTCTCACCTTCTACCTGCTTTTTTGAGTTCCATAACATTTCAAGATAGAGCAATGAATTTCTGTGGAGGGTTTCTTTAATACAATGAGAATTGGGTGCAAGTTCTACGGCACCGCTTGTTATGCATGTTCCGCTCGCCAAGTTCACGTGGGTTTATTTCACCTTACCCTACACTCCAGTCATATTGAACCTGACCCAACCTGTTCAATTGCTCTTTGGTTAATATAAAATTTCGTGTCCTCTCGAAAATCAGTGGTGTGTGCTGAACGACCTTGAAAACAATCTGGATGTGAGACTTCCTTTGAAGTGATTACTGATGTAGTTATGTACATGTACCTGAATATGCTCTCCAAAGCTTCACCTTTCATAATAACTCGCCTTCGACTCTTTTCTTTCGCAAAGATCAATCGTAACTTTGAAAACAATCTAGTACATGAACACTATCTGACATTAAAATTAGATTTAATGCAGCAAATTGTGCAGAGAAGAATCTTGGGGATGGGAACCAAGAAAAAGACAATCATCCTGAGGTAAGTAGCAACAGGGTGGGTGGCGTCACTAGACAGTTCTACTTCAAGTTTCTTTCCTCTTTTTCTTTGAATTTCAGCACTTCAAGTTACCATTGATGCTTAAACGCTAATCTAAAAATTCCACGCGCACGTAGTACACTCGGTATGAGCAAAGGCATTATTGAATTCTGTTCCGAGTGTTTTACTATCGTTTGTTTTTCTGTGGTTCTCCATATTGGTATAGCGCTCATGTAATAAAGTCAAATCGAACCGATCGAATTTCGTTTATTTCGTACTGTTTTTGCATGGATGAACCTACATTCAAAGCCCTATATATTGCCTCCCTCAAAGTTGGTTCGATGAACCAAAGACGTCTTCGCAAGATATTTGCCCTCCGAGCTATCCCTGTGCCATGCCAAGAAATTCTGTTGCGTCTAACAAATTAATAAATATGTTTCGTGTTACGTATATGATATCTGTTACCAGCGGACTGTGCTCCCTTCTCTTCTATTTGCAGGCTCAGTCATGGGGTCATTTAAACTATTCAGTTCTTACCCCCCTGAACATTGCTTGTGCCGTTTATCGCTCTTTTTATTAAATAATTCCTTCAACTTTAGGTCATTGGTCAGATGTCATTCTATTCTGTTTGTTTTCCCCCTATTTTCATGTGGGGAGGATTTGTCTTTTTCGCTTTTCTTTTTCTCTTTTCGCTTTGCTTAGTTAAAACACACTCTCTTGCTCATTTTATATCTTCACTGCTAGGTACTACTATTAATTTTAACATTATTACACTAAAACGTTATATTAATACTTATATCACCGAATATCGCGTGAAAGTGGAAATGAATTAAGAGTGACGAATTCTTCTCGAAATTGAAATCGTTGTGAAACGATTGTCTTGCGACTAAATCTTACAATGTTCAACATTGCGACCTTTACAGAAATGATCCGGTATTCAATGCTTTGTTTATGGGCTTCGAACAAGGCTTTGAACATCTTCGAGTGGTCAAGTTACCTGCACCTCCTACGAGAAGTCTTTGTGATGAAAGTATCAGCTCCGGAGCAGAGGAGAATGAGTCGCGCATTGTGGGTGGCATAAGGAAACATCGAGGGTGTAGTTAAGAAGGCAAAAAACATTCGATTTTGCTCCCCGTCTCTTGGTCTCTGCAGCCCTTCCTCCTTGGATTACTCCTTACGGACTTGGACTACGTAGGCAGGATGAGGTTGCAGTCAGCATTGTTCAACACGCTATGGGAAGAGCGATGCCCGGGAATCTCCATTAGGCGCAAGTGCAGAAGAAAACCCGAGCTTCGAGCTTTGTCGGCAAGCAACGCTTAGGGACGCAATCGAAGATCAGAAGAAGCCGAACAAGTTGTTCAGTTTAGTGATAACCATTGTAATAGGGTAATTATGGCTGGATCCTGCGGGACGTCGACGAACACTATGACGACCTCCAGCCGGATAGCTCTCACCCCCTCTTACTCCAGACTCTGGTGAAAACAGATGGAGTGTTTTTACGTAACCTCCAGCAAGTCAAAGTCAGATCAAGCCACATATGCAGGGGCTCGCTTCTTGTCTTCTTCAACCTAGCACCACTGTTCAGCTGTAGTAGCAAAGAAGTATTTTTTTTTCAACGTTGCATTTATACCGTGAGAAAAGCATTGTTGTCATCGAGTCAAAAGCTGACTAGGCAGACAGTGCTCTTTACTCCTGCTGCACGGATACCAAGTGTGAAATTCCGGCATCCATTTTTTTTTATAACACTTAAATCGCGTCCAGCTGCAGACCCATCTATCCTACAATTGATATTTTTCTTTTAGCTACGTGGTGCACCTTTTGTGATCTTGCTGTTAAGAAATGACGGAAGAAAAAAGAATAATGTTGATTTGTGGTGTTCCCTCCTTTCGAAGAGCTACGAAGAGTTGCTCGTTTTCTTCTTCTTGAACAAGGTAGTGGCACTGCACCCTGAACCATCCGGCATCTGTTCTTCCATAGTCACACTTTCAAGAAGTTGGTGGCCCCCTTTCCTGACTTCTTCGAACTCCCTCTATGCTTAGATTGTCGTCGTTGTATTACTTATCGCTTTTCCAATTAATATCTTCGTACAGCTTTGGGTAAACTCAGGAGAAAGCCTCAGGAAGGTAGGCACCAAAAAGACCTTTCTAGACATCCTTTCTTATCATGAACTATCAGGATGTCAAGAAGGTTTTGAGCAATTCACTCAGTTTATTCAGCACGAACTGGTTACGACAATGATGTAGGGTCTGTAATCAAGATAGTGATCCCTCTTGGCCACAAACGGCTCTTCATCGATTGGAGGGGCGCGATCTATTCATGTGATGCACACTTGACTTCCTGACTGGTATTGAATTTTCTCCTTTATTTTAGGCCTGTAAACTTCTGAAGACATTACAGTCGCAAAGAGTGAGGCCATTAGTATGATAAGTGGGGTAGCCATGTGATACTAGGCCTTTCCAGCTCCTCCGTCGTCGTCCTCACATGATGCGGATGAGCATTGTCCATCATAATCAGAAACTTAACTTGTGGTCGGTGTGAGATGGGGCCTTCTGAACGATCTCTCACTTGTTCGCGGAATACTCTTATATTCACAGTGTGAACTCGAGTAAGAATTCCGAGAATAAACATCCGGTGGAACAGGAGAAGAATGTAATCATTCCTCGTGACATGGGCCTCTCGTTGTGCAATGGGTTCCGGCTTCTGTAGATTATTGGCTCACTGCAATCTCCTTTGTCGATTTTCATATAAAACCTATTTTTCATCCTGAACGACTACAAAGTTCGTCCAATTCGTCGTACGCTTACGGTCGAGCATCGTTTGTTACACAAAATATGAACGAAATACGAAATATGCTTAAGTTAAACATATCGAAATTTCGCGCGATTCGCTTCACTAAGAAAAAGTTATGAACGAAAGAGCGCAAGAGCGCTTGGCCGAAGACTTTTGAGCGCGACTGTAACTGCTGCAGGAAATGCTGCACGAAAGTGACTCTGCAAAGGAGGACATAGATGGTTAAACAGAAGGAAAGAAGTCGTCTTCCCTTTTTCCCCCAAACTTCAAGAAGGGTTGTCTTGAGGTCGAGATTTCTAGAAAAGTGTTGTAGGAACGTGAATCGCTCCGTGGTCGACTAAGCAAATCTTTCTTCAGAGTAGCGATTTTGTCACCTACAGCATTTGGCTATGGAGGGTGCAATACTGCCCATCAGGCAATATAATTCATTCCGGGCCTAACATGACTAGCGGAGCGACCACAGTAGTAGCTGTGACGTAGAAGGCGTCGGTAGTTCTGTCCTTTGCTCAATGTTTGGTCGATGATAAGTTACCTCCAAGGCGAAGTAGAACACAGATCTGATGTAGTGATGATATTTCGAAGGCACCGTTTCGTGCCATTTTTTCTATAGCCCTCCTTTCTCTATGGACCTACCCGCGCGCAGCAAACTTTCAAAGTTGAGGGGAAATATTCTCCTATAGCTTCGTTCCTCGAACATGTAGAGGTAAAAAAGCAGTCTCTCGGATGATCATACATTTTCCTGGGGGCAGTTTGCCCGATGATCTTCTTTTTTCCCTATCTTCTTTTTTCGAGGTTTCACAACAAATGAAATGTGTAATGCATAAAAATATTCAACATAACTCGGAATATAGAAACAACGATTTGTTTCAGTATTCCAGCACATTTTCGCTTGCAATTCGACTATTATCCATAAGTCCTTTATTTATACTCCTCAGTTCTTATTCCAGAAGTTTACCAAAGAAGATTCTATTGATGATTCTTATTTTTATCGGGTAGTATTATCCAGTTTTTTTTTTTGCAAATATTGCTGTTTTTATTGAAATTTCACTTGATTTTCACTTTTACCGTTTTTATACTGATCCGCTTCCTCTCTTTTCCTATACCACTTTCACATCCTTTCCCTATTTCATGTGCGCCTTCACTTTCCCTTCATTTGCTATAGTTACGTTGTTACTGCTACAGTTACAGTTGTCGACCATGCGTCCCGATGCCAGGGCGCACGTTGTTGGCTCCCTGGGGGTATTTATATTATTTATCAGGTGTTCCTATACTTTTTCATGTTTTCATGTATCAGCTGAGCTCACAGTCTTCTAGAGAGTCTTGTAGCATTGCGGTCCAGGAATCATTCATTTCTTACTACAGATATACGAGAAAATAAAAGTTATGTAAGGACAATATAAAAGTGCGGTCGCCAATGGGTTAGTATACATATGTGCCAGTGAACGTTTTCTGAGCCTTTTTTCTAGATTTAACCATACCGCATATTATCCTGCTGTCATCTCCTTCATTTTTCTTGTTTAGTTTCTCGCAATCCCATAGTTCATAGTACGAGTAGTGGCAGTAATCGTACTTACAGTGACTCATCAGCCTTTTCCCATGTGCTTTCCGTCCAGCATATCTGAGCAGCTTGCTTTTCTTAGGTAACTCGGCAGCGGAAATTGATCGAGTTTTACGTCCAGATTTGATCAACCGTTTTACCCCTGCGATCATTCCATGCTAGCACTGTGGATTGTTACAAAAATCATTTGGAAACTGAACTAGAAACTAGTTGAACTAGATGAACTATAAACTAGTTGAACTAGATGGACTTGTCTTCTTCGATCTGCAGCCCAACCATTAAGTTATCGATTAATAACAACCTCTTTCGATGCGCGCCCATCAAAGCAGAATACTTGGAGAACTTGGAGAGTTTCCTTCCCTCCTGCCGTCAACTTTGCCGAAAGAGGAGCAGGGATCAGAGAGGTGATAAGCGCGGTCTTTTTCGTAGGGAATCAAATTTTGTTTTGTATCTCTGGCGCTGATTTACACTGCAACATTTAAGTATTCACGCCAACGGAACATATTAGGATTTGGCATATTTCCGCTGCCGAGTTTAAAGGGTTGTTGCACAATCCATGGTGTAGGTTCACCTGTGATGTTTCTCATATCTTGTAAGATAGCTCTTGAACACTCATTCGAGGAAGACAGGTTAGTTTTTCACCTAATCCCGTTGCTATCAAACTAATGAACGTCAAACGTAATGGGTCGTTCTTCCGAGCCCTTCTACTGTTTGATCTCAATAGACGTGCCACTGAAGCCCACTGGACGCTATTTGATACTTATGAAGAACGGGCTCTATCCGAACGGACCTACAGAGAATGGTTTTAGCAATTATAAGTGAAGGTTTTCAGCTGAAATGCAAGGAAAGTCTGGGTCATCCGAAAAAGTTTGAGGATTCGCAATTGCAAGCATTGTTGGATGAAAATCCAGCCCAGACCCGAACAGAGCTGGCAGTGGAGCNGAACATCAATCCGTCAACCATTCCCAGACGCTTGCATGCAATGAGAAGGATTCGAAAGCTAGGGAAATGGATCCCTCACCAGCTGTCAGAAAAACAGCTTGAAACACGCGTGAAGGCTTGCAGAAAACCCTTGAAGGCCGAAGGACGCATTTCCTTAACCAAGTTGTGATGGGGTTGAAAAATGGATCTACTACGATAATCCGAAACGGCAAGCAGCATATGGGGATCCAGGCCAACCATTGAATTTACGGCCAATATCCGGAGTGTGCGCTGCCAAAAAATGATGCTGTATATTTGGTGGGATCAGGAGGGTATTGTGTGCTACGAACTGCTGAATCTAAACGAAACTGTTACTGCTGACCGCTGCGAATACCAACTTGACAATTTGTCGGGTGCTCTTGGCGAAAAGCGACCGTTAGTTGCAAGAAAGCATCGCAACGTCCGCCAAGCCACATATTGCAAAGAATGTTTCTGAAAAATTGCAGGTTTTGGAACGGGTTAACTTGCTCAACGCGCATACTCCTCGGATCTAGCTCCGCCGGATTACCACTTATTCCGATCCATGCAAGTCAGTTTGGCAGATGTACCTTCCGAAATGCCGATCAAGTGCGGAAATCTGTTGATGACTGCCTCAAAAGATGATGACTTTTTCTGAGGCAGAACCGACATGCTACCAGAAAGATGGCAATTCGTTGTAGACAACAGTGGACAATATATTGGTTGATGTACATTTTGTTTTGCTTTTGTAATAAATATGTTTTTGAGAACGAGGAGAGAACGAGGCAAACTTATAAACGAACAAGTCAGACTTATTCCAATTTTTTTTCAGTCACAGATGACGATGTCAACCCGACTACAGCAACTGCTCCAGCCGGAGATGCTCCGATCATCGATGATGCTGTAGCAATGGTAACCGAACTTCTTTCGAATTCGAAGAGGTTTGAGCGTCCAACTCAGGAGTATCGAATTCTCGACAACAAATGTGCTTTTGGTGAGTAATAGTTTGGTTAATATGCACAACGACCGGAAGAAAAACTTTGAGTAGTACGTGGGAGTGATGAATTGGTAATGCATTCAGGTCTCACATTTGAGAAAAACTCATATACTATAAGAACCTTTCATCGTGTTTTCCTCCTTGCTGAGCAATCGGTGCTGCTTTTTCGACCCCATGATGAGAAGACTGCACAATTCTCCGCAGTCCCACAAGGTTGGCGATTTTCCCATTTTCACAAGGTTGTCCCCGGAAAGGACAAGTAAGGGTTCGAGTCCCGTCCGAGACTGGAGTTTTGCCCACAAATCGCCAACCTTGTGAGACTTTCGCTTCGCGCACTGCGGCATTAAAACAGCAGTTAACAAAACATCAAGTCAAAACTCCGCAGTCTATTCTTTGCCAATCGCTTGCTACAACGTGTGATTGCTCGAGCTGTCCGATGAGCTATTGATGATGCAGTGTTGATTTGCGTTTCCTCTTTTGTTCACTAGAAGTCTTTGTGAAGGATATTCCAAAACGGGCTGTGCTATTATTATCATGTGGGATCCATGGAAGCACACCATTTGTAAGGCTTGGTATACATGAAAATATATGGAAGAATCTATGGAGAAAATTCTCTTCGTGTAAAAGGACCTGCAGAAAGGAGAAACTCGTGTAGCTGGGAGCTGGGAGGGGGGTGGGGTTCAATGTCAAAAGGTGATCAATTCACTCAACGAAAGAACATTGAAGGTAGCAAACATATGAAGATTGCTTTGAATTTATGGTGGAATTCACAAACTATGTTGGGGTGTGCAAAATAGTATCGTTTCAATCCGGGTAACCACTTACTCCTATTCCTTTGAGTGATTCGAGTGGGAAGATAGAGGTAGTAAGCGGTTAAGTAGAAACCGCGAAAGAGGAAAGAAATAGCGGCAAAACTTCAGTCGTGACTTCTTCCGAGCACTAATCATTCACTGTCACGGGGTAATCTTCTTGTCGAACGCCATCACTCCTTTCTATCTAGGACGTCCACAATTACACTGAGTTCACGTGATGGTCACTTTCAGTTCCTGTGTGTTCTTAGAACCTTCTTAGGACATGCTTTCTTTACGAATGATTGAATGATTGCTCCCATATCTTTTGATTTCTGAAGCACTCGTGTCCGCGTGTTTCCATAGCACCCTCGCTTCAGCGGAACGCGTGTTTGTTATTTTGACTGTTTTATCGCTTGCCATTGCCAAACATCACATCTCCAATTGTTAGTGATACCAATTACATGAGCAAATGGTCGTTGTCGTTATAAAGGTTTTAACTCATGCTTTTCACTACACATCAGCAATATTTACCATACATTGTTCAACTGATCCCTTAAAGATTAAGCGGTGATTCTGAAGCGCCAAAGCTTCTATACTCTCACAGTGCTTGCATTCGGAGGGAAGCGCTTCTTGTTTTGCTTTTCAACGCTTTTTCTTTTTTTTTTTTGCATCGAGCAAATACTGCCGTTTGGAAACTTTCCTTATCGTGCCGTTATCTTCCCCGTTGCGACTTCATCGGTGTCATCTACGTCAGTTTTACTTTCAGTGTGCAATTTTTTATCGTACTACATATAGCTCCCTTAGTAAACATTTTCTGTGATATGAGTCGCTAATCTGTAATCGATTCCTCGATATATGCATGTACCGAGGAATCGATACCGCTTGTTCAAGTAAGAATTTAAGCATGCAGCAGCTGCTGGAGGCAGTCGCAATCAGACGCACTCTATCTGTGCTAAACTCTTTTTTTACAAGCAGTCAATCAACGATTGTCATAATTTCTTGCAGTTATTTTAGCAGGGCGGAGAGTGGGCAAAAAGCTACAGAAGAGTCGAACATTAGGCAGACCAACATAAAACTTCTGACGCCTTCCCGCCACTCAAAATTTAGTGCTCGTTTGTGACCCATAGTGTTTCGATTCAATACCAGTAGTCTAGCTTCTGCTTGCTGCTGTGCCAGATGTGGGGTGAATACAGATCGCGTCAACAAGTAGTGCATTATTGTTGTAGGCCTTGCTATTGTAAGGCAAATCGAATTGAGCGACTATCCGGTCGTGATCGGCCAATATCTTTGTCCAGCATTGTACCGAAACGAAAAACTGTACGGAGCTCCACTCTTTTCATTCGCAAACTATTTTTTATAAAGCTTGTGCGCTGTTCCATCCATGTGGTCCGCGAAATGCAGGCTTGCAATTTCCTATATAAAGAAAAGGGGATAGGGAGCCTTTAAAAGGCCTCGAAATTTTTTCGCTGGAGACAATACCCCGGAAAATGGCAGTGAAAATTCGAATCTGAGTGTGTGTAGTACAGGTTGCTACTGCAGCTCTCGGTTAAAGAATTTTTCCGCAAGCTAAAGCGGTCTCTTCGGGGAACAGCTTTGATTAAGGTTACTACAAAACGAAAATCGACTACATTTCAACTTGTAGTTGCAGCCTGATCAAGGTTCAAGGCGAAAGCAGAACTTCCGTTACAACCTATAAATGTACGAATCCCAGAAAGTGATAACGTACACTCTGAGCGGCTTAACCTTCTTCAGTTTTTTTCTACTTTATGTTGTAAACCAAAAGGAGGGAAGTAGCATGTGGTTGGTATGTCGTATTCTGCATTTTCATCCCACGTGATTTCAGGCCTGACACAGTGTTTGCTGAAAATCACGTTCTCGAGGCCAGGAGAAGAGCAGACTCGAACTCCGTACGTATTTCCTGGCTCCGCCTCGACGGAGGAAGGAGCAAAGCAGCAGGCAGCACGCGGAGCTGTCCTGTTTCTCAATCTATGAATTGTTTTTGAAACATTTAAACTCGCTATCGAGTGCCTTTGAAACAGTAATTGGATATAAGTTTTTTCTATTCCAGTATCAATGTCGGGCTTGTTCGGAACTTGCGAACAGATTCCTTCTATCGGTTTCGCATTGACCCAGTTCGGTATAACCACGCTAGTCAGCCCTCAATCCGCGATTACATTTTCATTTCTGTGGCGCACAATTAAAAGGGTTTTTCCAGCTGGAAATGTCATCAGACAGCATAGGCGTTGAAATTATCAGTAATTCATGTTTTTCTTTTTTTNTTTTTTTCTCATTTTCTCTTTCACTTCGAATTCCTGATTAGATGTCTCCAAACGCTGTTTTTCTCTCGAAGGTAATCTCTTCAACATCCGAAACATTTAGCCCATTGATGCTTTCGATATGTTCAAGGGGCTTAAATGTTGAACGCGTGAAGATTACCTGCAGATAGAATTTCCGGGCCTAAATGTTGAACGCGTGAAGATTACCTGCAGATAGAATTTCCAAGTGCCATATGTGAGATACGGTTTTCCGCATAGAGTTGGGTGTTTCATCCTCAGCAGTACCACTTGAGAAGTGTCCAGCTCAACAACTGTGCCGGCAAGCTCTTTTCCTTGAGCTCGAAAGAGTTTCCTGATCTGTCAGAGGTTAAAATTATTGGCAAACACTTTCAATGGGCTTCAATACAGCGCTGAAGTCGTAATAGATCGTTACTGCTCCAATTTGTTTTTGCTAATGAACCGTGTTTGCGAAATATAAGTGCGTTTGCTGAACAAACGGAAGTCTACCGTATTATACGCTGTCTCGAAATCTAATGAATAAAAAACGCCCGCAGTCGAAGGATTTTATTCAAAAGATTATGAGTAGTTCAGGGGCGCAGCAGAGAGATGGAGAATATGATGAATAAGACATTTTCGGAAAAGGTCCTGATCATTCATTCTTCGCGTTCCAGCGTGACTGCCCACCCCGATTTGGCCTGGTCTCAAGAAACAAAAGCTTTTCCTTTGATTCTGCAGCTACTTAGTTGTAAGTGAAGATTATCTATTACCGGGCCACGAAATTCCCCTCACTACGCAATCCACAAGAGAAAGGCCATACGGATATAACTTAAAAACAGGGAAAGGGCGTTTTTGCTTGTCTACAAACCATCTAAAACCCGATTTAGCCGAAATCGTAAAGCGGCTGAAATCCTCATCATATGTGGGCTGAAAAATGGTAAAAATAATATTGAAGAGCTTCATTTTAATTCACTAAATTTATAAATCGCAAAGTAATGGAGCCTTGATGACTGGGGCGAGGTACGGACGCAAAAGGGTATCTTCAGAGGCTACTGTCATAGTCCACGACTTGGCGAGCGACCGATCGCCAAATCGTGGACTATGAAAGCAGCCAGACTGTGAAAAAAACAATTCTTTCTTTGCGAATATTCAGAATATTAGCATGCTTGATCATTTGACTTCTCTACAGCAACTCACTACTTGTTTAGACACCTATTCGTTTCTGATTAAAAGTCCAAAATCCATGTTTTCTTTTCTGAGGGTTTTTTATAATGGTGTTCACTTTTTGCTTCTTTTTATATATTTTCGTGCCAGCAACTGTTGCAGCTGTTCCGACTCCAATCGGAGTCAAAATAAAAAGTTGTTTCGAAGGAACTGCAAACTACAAGAGCCGTCAGAGCAATCATCTATATGAGTCACCACGATGGACCGGTTTCTCCGGATGATCGCATCACTGCAATTGGTACAAGGGTGGCAGTTAGGCAAGAATCGTTTGGCATGTCACCTATCTAGAACGGCAACTCTTCCTTCTGTGATGCCTTAATCCTCGTACCTACTTTTTAAGCAATCTAACTCGCTTCTCCTTAAAACGATGCCGGAGACCGCTTCAATTATAGCTAAGTAAACAGTATAGGCAATGGATATTAACGAAGTCATTTGTCAGCGATCACCTGGAAAGTTACCTTCTCCACCACTGCTAATTTGCTTCTGAACAAAAGGTAGTTGAAAGAAACATGCACACAACAAATGTGCGATTGTATGCTTGGCTTAATTTACTGACAACACACTTGCAAAACTCACAACATGACCAGACACACTGGCCACTGCTTTGTACCTACGCCTACGCTGACACCTGCTACCGGGCGACATTCTGTTGCTAGTAGAAGTACGAAGCAGTGGCCATCATGCTACATCTCTCGGGTGATGGACTTGTAGAACCTACTGAAGACGGGAATTCAACGGCTGCAAATTTTTGAATTTGTTTTTCCCGTTGCATGCCAAAGATATAGAAGATTGACAGGAAATATGAGTATTTTCGGTTTCATTTGGTCAATCGAAAAATAATCAGTCCTCGGCCATCGCGTGGCCTGCCCTTTGGCTTTCATAAGAGTCGTCCTTCTCTGAACTCTCGATAAGGTAGAGTCGTAGAGGCGAACACCACGTGATGGCCGAGGGCTGTTGATTACTCGCTTGACTATGCCAAATACTCTATCAATCTTCAAGTGTGCGGCCAATTGTTTGACAAGTTCATCGACAAAAGGCGTTTGAAACTTTCCGCCCGTTAAATCTGTGTTCATAGTTTGTTCATATCATTCCCGTCTGACAGCTTCTCCACAACGTCCATGAACGGAGTTGTCGTATGAGTTTGAATCCTTACTGAATTTATGTGTTACTCATGTTTTATTGTTCCTTTGCAGTTCCTATGTTCTTGTTTTTTTTTTTTTTNAAGTTCATCGACAAAAGGCGTTTGAAACTTTCCGCCCGTTAAATCTGTGTTCATAGTTTGTTCATATCATTCCCGTCTGACAGCTTCTCTCTGTCCATGAACGGAGTTGTCGTATGAGTTTGAATCCTTACTGAATTTATGTGTTACTCATGTTTTATTGTTCCTTTGCAGTTCCTATGTTCTTGTTTTTTTTTTTGCTGTAGGGGTTTTACTGAATATTTTTCATATAAAAAACGGAGCGTGAACTAATACACGGAAAAGAGCGAGCAAAACATTCATGTTAAAGCGCTTTAAAAGCTGGAAATTTCCATGAGACAACGAGATCTGGGTGTTAATAGACCACATCACACGAATTCGTTTTTGCCAGTACCGTATCGTGGAAGGCGATTTCGAACGCGTGGCGCACACCGGTCCGCCCCAAGTCTGAATGCAGCCAACCATCCAAATTAAACCTAAACAAGAGATAGGTGCTGGCACGACCAACCTAAATTCGACACACCGATTCTGAGAGGATGTGCCTACCGGTATACGAAGTACTATGAAGTAATGCTGTTCTTCCTTACTCACCCCAAAACGGGTAAAAAAGTCTCGTATACACAGCATATAGGGAAGGGATGTCACGCATAACGTGCGTCTACTTCTTTGCTATCTTGATCTACGGGCAGACCAGTTGTTCCAGTCACATCCAGTTGATTTCCTAAGTTTAACCTTGAGTAATCAGAGTTTCCTGTTTATGGATGGGGCAGTTATTGTTCATTTACTGTAGGTCGTTCCCATAGTTTGCAAAAAGCGATGTGATTAGCACATGAGTGATTTGTGCACGTAAAGTACTAAAGGTCACGCCGACCGGCACTGGGTCGCGTTTCTTTTGAACTTTTCCCACGCGAGCACTTGGGTTGAGATCACCGCCGACTCACTTCTTCTAATGAAGTGATGTGCGAACATGCCTTTTTGACTATCATACTTGACTACTGTCGTTGATGTTACTGATGGGGTCTGGGGATGTTGTGTCGTCACCGTTGGAATGTTCTATGTTCATGAATTATTTTGCGTTAGTGTTTTCCATGTAAATGTGTTCCTGAAAAATAATTCCTATGATTGCTACTTCGCTATTGGTTCTCCTCTATTTCGATGTTTGCTGATTTCTATCACAGCCACCTGGCTTTTCCATGTTCCTTAAGGTTCTGATAGAGGAAGGTTCAAATGTTTTCTTGGACTTATTACTGAGGAATCCAATGTTGGCTAAAGTTTTCAAACCTGTTTAGAAACGTTTCATGATGGTTCCTGCTAACATCTATCCTTATTGACCTCCATGTATTTCTTTTTTTATTTTTTTGTGATAACCGTGGTTCTCTGTTTTCGAGGTGATCCTGTTGTTTTGACGCTTAACACTTTTATTTTTATATAAAGTCTTTCTAAAGTGATTAGTTGTGTTACGATCGTGCGGTTTTCGACCGTCTTTCATTATCACAGCCTTTGGGAAGATTGTAGTTGAAGTAGGTGGAGATCGCGTTGGGAGGCGGGTTGGTGTTGGGCGGCAGTTCTGCTCCGTCGTGGCCTCGCCTTTTTTTGATCGATAGGACGTGGTCCGTCCGTTTCTCTCCCGTGTAGCGAGCGCAGGCATCCTCAAGGATGCAGTTCCTGCGTCATGATCGCTCGGCACACTTGCCGTTCCGCTTAACCTTTGATCTTTGCCTTTTTATTTTCTGGCCCCATAGTTTTCTCATCGTGTCCACTTTTATTCGTGTAATCGCTTTTGGTATCATTACGATCCGGGTCTTGCGATTGTCCGTCATTTCCTTGTTATTTAATTTTTTTCTATTTTGTTCAGGTATACTAACGATTTAACCATGTCACTCTCTACAACGATTGCCAGAGGCGCTAACAAACTTGTCGTAAAGGTACGATTTCATTGTTTTGATTACTTTAACGTGACCCACTAGTTCCACTCGCCCGTGTTATCACAACCTGTTGCGTAGATAGGCTGGTACTATGAGCGTTCTCTGGTACGTATCCTATCAGGAAGAGAAATTCCTAAGAATCATTTGAACTTTGTAGTGATTGTTTGCCATTAATGTGATAAATAGTTTTGGGCTTCCGTAGCGCCATTTTTCTTCGTTTCTTGCCAGAAAAGCATAGATATGTGAAGGTTCCAAGACGAGTAGCATTCGTACTCTGTAAAAATTCCATGTGCCTACCATTATTTTTTCTCTCAGCCTTGGGGATAGTCCGGCATAACGTTGAACCCCCGTGGGCCGGTTGTCAGTCGATTTATGAGGCTCATAGCGAGCAGCAGCAGGATTTAACCACCAATACATTACAATCTACCTTCGCGTTTTCGCAGATTCATTCACTTCCAAGCGGCATGACGTGCTTGTAATTAGTATTCGACATTGAATATAGTACGTTTTGTAAAGGGGCAGAAATACTTTGCGCAATGAGACCAACTTATGTGAAAGGCTAGAAAAAGCTAACCTTTTATTAATTTAGTGCCTAAAAATACGCCAAATATGCAGGAAGACCTAACAAAGTGTTGCTCAAAAATATCGGAAGTTCACAAAGAGGTGAAGAGATAAAAGTGCTGGGCTTGTTTTGAATGTTCGGGAGCGGTGAAAGCTTGAAATCTTTTTCAGTAGAAGCAGTCGACTGCACATCAACGAATTTAAACCTTAACTTGCCGTGTCTTCATTTTTATAGGTGTACCCTACACAAATTGGCAAGGATGAAAAGCTCGGTTTTCTGATTCGGGACGGGATTTTACACTCTCATCATATGTGTCGCAGCGCCACTTTTCACTCTCTTTCTTCTGCACTTCAGCGATGTGTGATGTAAGCAGTAGAAAACATGCTGAACCAAGAACTCTCTTTTGATTAGGTTTGTTGATAAGGTGTGTGTGAATAACGTTAAGGAAACGACAAATCCGGAAATGGGAGTGGTAACGATTTTGGAAGGGCTAGAGTTATCGACTGTGTGGAAGCGGGTAGCAATAGTCGCGTTTACCCAATCTTTTGAGAGTTAGAGTATTACAAGAAATACCAGTTTGTTTCCACGGATCCTAGATTGTGCATAGGGATTCGGTCTCCAACTGGACTCACAATGGAAATTGCCCTTCTGATTTGACAACGTAGACCAATCGAACATTTATTTGAGCACACTTCAACCGTTGTGTCTGCTCTTCCCAAGGGAGACCACGTGCTTACACTTATACGGATCATGTAAACACGTTATTGAGTNACTGCAAAGAGGTAGGAAAATGCATACATGGTTGCCAGAGGTTGTGACTTGGAGGTTATATTACTTTGAAAACACCTCTTTATAGTCACCTAGTATAAGAAAGCAATGGCTCTCCGACCTTCGGCGTGCAACGTTTGCTTATCATGGAGTAGTGTAATAGTGAGGCAGTGGGCGTCTTATATAGTGGTGCAGAATGTTATCTTGACCACGACGTCAACAGGGTAGGCCACCCTATAAGATTGGTTTCCTAGTTCTATTAGCAATCGACGGGAGGGCTGACGGACCAATAGGCCTAAATAGCGATAAATCGAAACACCATCGTAGTGACGTATGTGTAACAAAGCGATAGTGGCATCCTGTCGCTACTACTTGCTTGGCACGGTTGTATGCTTAAGGTGGACAAGTGAGTTGGTGTGATGTCTAGAAACTAATTTGGCGGGCGATACCTTAATGAGACCCCAAATTCTACTTCGTGCTTGATCATTCACCCAACTTTAGTATCGGGCTTCGAATCTTAAGGCACCAAATATTGAATCGTTTGTTACGGATAGGAGGTATACATCGCTGAAGCGAGTTTTGTTCAGTTTTGTTTCGATGACAGTTGTTGCGTAACTAATTACCCCCAAAGTGTTGTTCTGTTAGGCGCTGCACAGCGTCGATTAATCTTCGAATTTGCGAGATACTGCAAGCCTTTTGGTTATTGAAGATTGCTACTTCTATAAGCGCTTTAGACGCCAAAACGTGAAAGCATAAGTACTGCTGTAACTTTTGGATACTCTAACCGCTTTTCATGGCTTGCGTGGTAGATAACTTGTAGTAGACAGTGGTTATTCAATTATAGGCAATACCCCAGTAGGCAATAGGCAGTAATCAGTGATCGAAAGATTTTATACCGGGGTTCATAATAAAGTGCGAGGTAATAGTTTGTTGTTTTTGCTATTTGTAAAGCGTTCATATATTGCGAAGCTACGGAGCATCCCAAAGTTTTCAGCGTTCAACGTTTTTTGGGAAGAATTGTACCGGCTTTTCGTTTTCCCCATCCTACTCTATCAAAAAATATAAATGTAAGCATTTTTTGTCAGTTGGAGTTGCTGCAACGTAGAGTGGGCAGGGGATATTTGTAGGTTTGATTTCAGACGTTTTTGGGGTCTACTTGTGATTTTTTTATTGTTCAGCCTTGCTCCCATAGATTCAGGATGGATTTCCTTGAGATGCTATTCAAATAGCCTCTACAAGGCATTTGAACATCACGATAGGCGCTGGACATCTCGATGAGCTGGACCTAACTTTAAAGAAGGCTCTAGTCGTAATGAACTGTTGTTTAACCTACGGGTAAGATGTGCAAGGTGTGGGCCCTTTCACCACTGCTTGATCTCTGCTCGTGAGAGTCTATACACAGCATGCTCCGAGTTATTACATCAACATGAAGTTATTACATCGGTTGACGACTAGTTTGAACCTATGATTTTTCACCTATATGCTCATATATATACACAAAACTATTTTACAAACATGTAGTAGAGCAGAATATTTCTTATTAAAATGCGACAGTGGCTTGTGGAAGTCCTTTATAGTATTTGTATTGAATAAATGTTTCAGACAGCCGTAACTCCAGTATGCTCATTCGTTAACTTTTCCACACAAGTTGATCACTCCACTAATCTGAAAGAAGTTCTTGCCAAGAAGATTCCCGCCCATAACGCTAAAGTGAAGGAATTCCGCTCGCAGCATGGTTCTACGGTCATACAGTCTATCACTGTCGACATGGTAAAATTTAAACATCGTTAATTTTTCAAGGATTTTCTTCCTTTAGTGGCGATCTATGTAAGTAGTTTTTGTCAATATCATTAGTTTAGGTGTATGGTGGAATGCGTACAATGAAAGGGATGGTTACTGAGACATCAGTACTTGATCCAGAAGAAGGAATCAGATTCCGAGGATACTCTATTCCGGAATGCCAGAAGTTGTTACCGAAAGCTGCTGGAGGTGAAGAACCTATCCCGGAAGGAATTTGGTGGCTTCTCTGCACTGGTGACATACCAAATGAGAAACAGGTGAACCTCTCCGGCCCTCTCTTACAATCCAAGCTCGCCAAGCATTGTGCTCTCTTATCGTCTCCCATTTTGTGAAAGTTGCTGGTTTACAGACGTCGGCTATCACCAAGGAGTGGAACGCTCGTGCCGATCTTCCAGCTCATGTTGCTCGCATGCTGGACAACTTTCCCGACAACCTCCATCCTATGGCCCAATTTGTGGCAGCGATTGCCGCTCTAAACAATGAGAGCAAATTCGCGGCTGCTTACGCTCGTGGTGTTCCCAAGAGCAGTTATTGGGAGTACGCCTACGAGGTTCATTGTGCAAATCCACAACCCGTAATAGGAAGTAAGTCATTCATTTTTTATAGGACTCGATGGATCTCCTAGCAAAACTGCCCACCGTGGCTGCAATCATTTATCGCAATCTCTATCGTGATGGCTCAGCTGTGGGAGTGATTGACCCGAAAAAGGATTGGTATGTTTTTTTTT